GCTAGCTCACTACGCGGCATGTGGGCAGTAGGTCGATATTGACTCTATATAAAGAGCCCCGCCCAGTGCTCTGGGAAACACGGTGGCAGGGCTGCAAGGCTGCAGGAGAGCATGGCAGAGACTGGAGTGGTGGCAGCTCCGAGGACAGAGACTGAGAAGGCTGTGGGGTAGAGAGGCCCAGAGGCAGAGACCAGAGACCGTCTTGCTGCGTGCAGACTTACTCTGAGTGGATGGGATTTTAGTGATTGACCTGCCACCTTGGGAATGAAGTTGGGTATAACCCTTTCACCCCAAGAACATTTTACTGTCATTTCTTTGGTCACACTGAATTCATAGTGAACTTGCCTAGGGCTGAAACCCATTGGCAAGACACATACTTGACAGTTGATAGGAGAATAGATCTTACTGTTCTCACCACAAAAAAGAGAAGCAGGGATGATAACTCTGTGAGGTGATGGATATATTCATTAGCTTGATTGTTGTGATTTTTTCACAGTCTACATGTGTGCCAAATCAAGTCGTACCTTAAATACAATATTCAGTTGTTACTTCTACCTCAGTGAAGCTTGACAAAATATATAAAACCAAGAAATTTTATGCAGAAGAGAACTAGTTAACATAATATTAAAAATGCAGGAGGGCAGTGATATCTCTTTAAGAGAGATTGTTGGTATTGAATTGTCAAAGTCTTACCATGGCTCAGCAATGAAGATCTTACATAAAAGGAAGAGCAAAGAATCATTGAAAAAGTAAAGGAAGGAAGAAGTGGCCTCATATATTATACTTGTATGGTTTATCATTCAGATAAATTTAAAGGAATTCATGCATTGAATAGACTATGAAAAATTTTGAGGCAGTTGACCATAAATTTTATTCAAAAGAATGACTATGCTTCACTACAGGGAGATTTGCCAGGAATGTAAGTTTGTCTTAGTATAAACTTCATTGAAATTGTCATTTTGAAGCATTAATCAAGACTATTCTTGAAGAAAAATCTCTCCTAGAGAATGTTTGACAGTGCTTTTTATATTAAGTATTTTGTTTAAATATATTATAAGTATATTACATGTATATTAAGTACACTATCTCAAGTCTAAACATTAAGCATATGGTTTAAATATGATGTATTTGGATTTCCATGCTTAATAAATGTTTGAGTTTTTGTTTTTTTCAAGATTGATTTAGGATTTTTCATTTTTTATATGAATGACATTTCCATTTATTATATGGTACTTCCAGGAAATACATTCCAATCTATTGATGACTTGACATTTGAAACGAGTCGGGTAGCATCTGTTCTATCGAGCTGTCTCATGAGTCTCTCTTAGAGGGCAGTTTTATTTCTAAGATCTTAAGCAATGTCTCATTGTTGCTATTTGTGACTTCCCCTCTGTTGTCCCTTTAAGTTACCCAGTAGTGAGTTATATTACCTAGTAAATGGTTTTTGTCTTTTGCTATCTGATTTTTAAAATAAAATCTAGAGTTAATAGTCATGTATTAATCATATCCCTTTCTTGATTTATCTGTCTTCTTTCCAGTTTTACATCATAACAAAATTTTAAGTAAGATTTTATTTATGGAAGTAGCTGGGATGTTGCAAAAGGAAATTTAGACATATCAAGTTAATCTTTTATCTTCCTACATTGTTTCTTGAAAATACTAGTAAATTCTCTATTTTATGTTCAAACCAGAGCAAAATAGTTGTGAAATTTTTCTGACTAGAATACCAGAAAAGGTATTTAAGGCTGATTAAATAGAAAGCAAGTATTTCTTTTAAATTTAAGTTGCTTCTTATAGAGTTCCCATTTTGTTCAAGAGATAAAATTGCATCTATTAAATGAATTATTAAAGCCTCCATGACATGTAGTTAGAGGACTAGTGTTTCATGCCTGGTAGGACAGTTCAGCAACACAAACCTTATAATGCAAATTGTAAGTTGTTTCTTTTTAATCTTTCTTTTTTAAAGAATTATAAATAGCATAGGAACTTTTGTTTAATTTTACATTTAAAATAGATAAAATAGTTTTGTATAATTTATTTTATTATTTATGTTTTGAAACAAATAAATTTTATTTAGAGAAGAGTATCACACAAATAACTTAGTGTTAAAAATATGTAGGCTTAATAAGTATCTCCCATAAATTAATTTTTATGTATATCCTAGTATTTGTGTCATAAACCTTACATAGAAAATATTCTTCTGTAACAAAATGGGAAGTAGAATTGAGGTGAATTCTGCAATACTTTCAAAGCCAAAATGAATTTGTCTTGCTTTTAATTTGTAAGACTACAATTGTATCATTTTCTTTCCATGAGCAGTTTGTCTGTAGAAATTAAAATGCATTTTGTCACTATTCTTGAAGCTTGAATTTTGACTAAGTGATATTTTTTTTAAGTTTGCCTCTTGTAAATATATATATTCATTTCTAAATATATAGTAAAAGTCACTACTAAAGCCAGGTAAGTATACATGACATGATCATTAATCTTGAATCAATTCAACTTTTTGCATTTTCTGGTAGGCTGTTACTTTACACCTTGTACCCTTTTCTACTTGCATTATAGTCCTTAGATACTTCACATAGAGGATCGTATAGCTCACGAAGACCTTACATTTTTATTGAGCATTACTAATGAATATATACTAAGGTTATTGTTCCATAGACGAATGTTTAATTTTTAAACTTTTATTTATTTCATTAACTTTTAGAACATGACATATAAGAATGTACCATTGATTTTGGTTTCTAAGCTTAGTTCTTAAATGAAGTTTGGATATTTTGAAAGGATCTTGAATAGAAAAAATTATGATGCCAGTTTTATAATTTATATATTTATTTTGAGAAAGTTGAAAATATAGTTGGTATTTTTAACATATGTAAGAAAGTAAACCATACAGTTATTTTCTCATATGTAGTAAGCTGTATTACTTGAATCACATAGTTTTCCCTTATTTTTTATATTGCAGGTTGGCATGTAAGGAAGCAATATTGCTTGGTATTTAAGGCCATGGGCTCTGGAGTCAGAATGCCTGGGTTCAAAGCTGAGTTCTACCATTTTCTAGATTTGTGACCTTAAACAAGTTAATTACTCTCTGGGCATTAGTTTACTAATCTAAAGAGTAAGTTAATGTATAGTACTACCTTTGTTTTCTCATTTGGTCTTCTAAGAGATGGAAGATTTTCAGGCTGCATATTATTTAACCCTTTGTGTTCACTTAAGGAGTCAAATTTCTGAATGTGTTTGGGCCTGGATGAAAAGTGGAGTTCCTATACATATTTGCTATTTACAGTATTGCATATAAGTATATTGAGCATTTTCCCTCTTCATACCAGATTCTGTCCTGCTTCTGACCTTCCTAGCTACTAGAAATGCTAATGACAATTCTGCTTTCATTTTATCACCAGGCTTGATACATACCACTGTTTTTATGTAATATACCTTAGATTCTTTTGTTAGGCTATTGTTCTCTTTCCTGACTATTCTCCAGCCTGGGAACAAAACAGGCAGGGCTGATATTTGAGCATAACTTCTTAGTTCTGGCTGATAATCACACAGCACCGGGACTGTTCCTACCACCTCCTCCCCTCCCTCTCACTCCCCTCCCTTACTGCCTCTGCCTCCACCCCTGCCACAAATCCTACTGACCCAGCTTTGTATCAGTTCCACCCCTGGAATGCCTGGCTTTCACACATAAAGAAAAGCACTCATCATTGACTAGTTGGTGACTTCACTTTAAATAAATGAGTCAGATGCTAATCGCTGTGGCTCTTCTGATGAAAGAAAGAATCTTGGAGGAGGTGGCATTTTAGCTACTTGAGCAGTGGAAGAAGAAAGAATAGGTTGCAAGTCTGTAGCAGATATTTGAGGCTTCGGATTCATTCTCAGGTAATAATTTGAGTATGATGTACAGGGCACTGACTGGGGATACAAAAATATAGCTCCTGTTTAATCCCAAGTGACTCGTGTAGTGGCAAAATAATGCAAATATTGAAAGGAAAGCTGGGCATTGTTGGACAAGTTTTTGTTTATTCTCATTTTACAAAGTCTCCCTGGGTGATTTAATGTATTCTCTTGAGATCAGATTATCTTGAGAATCTGGTGGGTAGTTCATCGTAACAGTTTCCGTGCATTTCCAGAATACAGAGTGACCTCCTGTCTCCTTACACATGTTGCTTCTTCTGCCTGGAATAGTGTTAACCAGGGGAATTCTTCCTGATTCTTAAAATGTAATCGTAGAGGCCGTAACTGTCAGAAAGTTTACTTGATTCTTCAACACTGGACTAGGTGTTCTGTGGGTCTCATAGTCCCTGTTTCCTCCCAGTCAGAGACTTTATTACCTCATGGTGTGGCTGCCTTCCCTATACTGTTCGAGGAAGACAGGGACTGTGGGTGTGATAATGCCCGGTGTACGGCTGCTGCCCCAGAAGTATTTGTTGGTTGGGTGAATGAGTGGGATATGGTAAAGAGGAGAAGTGAGCAAAAATAAGGTGTGCGGTAGTGCCTAGAGCTGTTCCCGAGGCAGTAAATAGAACCATTCGACTGAAGTGTAATACTGGAAAGAATCCTGGAGTTTTGAATGCCAGGTTAAGAAGCCCAGAATTTATTTAATGAAGGGCGATTGAAGTTTAAAGAGATAATTATTATGTGTTCTCACAGATGTGACTAATATACCCATGCACAGGAAATAATTTTTCTAAGTTTTTGTGTTAAAATGTTTGTAATACTCTTCAATGGGCTAAACATATAACTGCCCATTTTGTAGACTCCTCTTAGATTGTGCCGACATGATTTACGAGGAAACTTTTGAAAGATTTGAGTAGATGCTGTTGAATGATTCGAACAACTCATTAAACTGTACAATTTGCTTTTCCTATATGGTGATCTGTGACAATTAAAAAATATAATTTCAAGGCAGTAATCTAACATGTATGGGGTTTCCTTCCTATTTGTAGCTTAAAGGAGAATAAATACTTACAGCTGTGACTTTTTTTCTCTAGTATCTCCAGAGGCAGTTGGATTTTTGTCAGCTGTCGGGGTGTTTATTATCGTGATGCTGCTCCTTTTTCTCTATATTAATAAGAAGTTCTGTTTTGAAAATGTTGGCGGGTTTCCAGACCTAGCTATTCTGTGAGAGTAAAAGCTCTATTAAGTAAATTATGTTCAGTTATCTTTCTGTTGTCCACAAATTGCTAACATATTGCAAAAGATGAATTGTGGGCTATCACAAAATAGCATTTTTATTTTTCATATATGAGGCATGCTTTTGAGCCTGTATCATGCGTAGTATGCTTTAAGAAGGAAGTATTTTGTTACTTTAAATAGCTTAACTCTATTGTCCAAATAACTTTCTAGAGGGTTTTTTTTCCATGTCCCTATAATGCTTTTAAAGTATTTACCCTTTTTTTTCACCTGCTGTTGAATTCTCAGCTGATGGATAATTTTATCATTTGGAGAATAGTTTTCCTTAGTAACTTAGTGTATAGATAAAATCTGGTTGTAAGAGTTAGTGTCACTCTCCCTCCCTTAGCACCACAGGCATTTTGTCACTTCCTATTACTAGATACTGGGAAAGATGAGGACTATAATACTGTTCTTTCTCTTACGGAAAGATTTTCCTTGGAATTATTTTTAAAATTAGTATAAGTCTTATTTGCTATTTCCAAAGACTGGCTTATCTAAATGACAACTGGAGCAAGTTGAGAACTTGAAAGCAAGGTGCTAATTTAGAAGAATTTTGAGGAGCAATAGCGGAGGAAGCTTGTTTTTCTTGTCCATGTACATGTGTTGGAGGGGTGTTGTTTACTTCTGATAACTTAAAAACTGATGGCCTCATCGTTTATAAAAATCTATTCATCATTGAATTACATCTGTGACTTTTGCTTTAGGAAACTAGTACTTTATGTGGTCTTGATTTGATTAAGTTTAATGCTTCTCATACTTCAGTCCTGCGTTTTGTAGAATGAACTGTTAAGATCTTATTAGGCAATCTCCAAAAATGCCCTGGTTCAGCATTTTCTGATTTTTCTCTGGTCTAATAATCCTTTTACTTTTAAAAAATTATCGAGGAACCCCAAGGAGCTTTTGTCTATTTGAGTTATGTCTATTGTTAGGTGACATATTAAATTTAAGATAAGAAAAATTTTAAATGTTTTTATTAGTTTATTTGTAAAAACAATAAGTTTATTATATGTTAATATATGTAACATTTTTAAATGAAAAAAAAAACATTTTCTAAAACTTAAAAAAAAAGTTTGGTGAGAAGAGTGACATTGTTTTATAACTTTTGCAAATCTCTTTAATGACCGGTGTAGAAAGACAGAAACAGCTGTATTCGCGTATCTCTTTCCATTCAGTGTGTCCTGTAGTCTGCAGAAAACTCCAGTGTTCATTTGTGAGCAAATGCAATTGAGAAAAGTTAAACATCCCATTATTATTATTATTATTATAAATATATATGCTATAAATACATAGAGTTTTGACATTGAGGATCCATTGGAAAGGTCTGAGGGACCTTCTTAATTTTTCTGAGCCCTAGTTTTCTTTCCTATTAAATAGGAATAATATTTACTTCCTAGAGTTATTATAAGATCAAGTAAGATAAAATTTGTAAATCAGAATGCCCTGCATGTGGTAGTCACTCAGCACATGTTCACTTTCTCTCTATTCTAACTTCTCTGTAAAATTGTTTATGTATTTTGCCCTTATTATTTTTCTTAATTTGAAATGATATTGTTAGTGTGTTAATAAGACAGGGTAGGTTCCCTACATAGACTATTAATAAGTTAATTTAAAGTGCATAATAAAAATCCTTTTTATACTTTTTCCTGCAGGTATAGAATAAAAAACCAATAGTATTTGAGGGGAATACTATCTTGCTGCTGTTGTGATAGCTATGGAGTAGGAAAAAAATGTCATTACGTTTAAACCAAGCTGTTTGATTTTTTTTTTTTTCTGGAAGAGTCTACTTCAACATATTTCTTCCAAAGTCTAATGCATTTACAGAAAGATTAAGTCACAATGTGAAATACTAATATTGAGCTCTCAAGTAGCAGCATTTAAATAAATGTTAAATTCCAATTCCAAAGTGGTTGATATTTTGAGAAGAGAAGATTCCATTATTGCACCTTTCTAGGAATTAGAAAAATGGCATTTTTCAAAAGTTTTCAGCAGAATCTGCCTTCAGTGTCTTCTCTGATGGAAACGATCAGTAATGCTGTAGACGATTTGACCACCACTGTTGGGGAAGTCAGCTGTGCTTTAACTGATTCAGTTGCTGAACAGGTAACAAGTATGATAAATGGCTTTCGCCCAGAAGAGGAAAGCTCTGTAGCAGCAGAAGCTGTAGATACTTCTAAACAAGAAAATGCCATGTTACCAGAAGTTTCCAAAAACACTAATTGTCAGAAAACACAATCCAATTTAGAGCACAGAGCAAATCAAATAAATTATTACAATACTTCAGTTTCACAAAAGCAAGATCAAAGAGTGAATGAAGAAAGAGTTTTTAAATATGTTAATAATAGACAACAGACTCTGCTGGAACACCAAGAAACAGGTAATGCTGGTGAGTCTTTGAAAAGCCACACGAGCAATGGTGGGATATCAGGTATCAAGCAGAACGCAAGGGCTGGATCCACTTGTCAAGAGCTTGAATATACTGACAGATGTAAACCAATTGGATCAGGAATTTCCAGTAATGGTAAGAATGATTTAAAGGAGCTAGGATATCAAGAAATGAAAGAAAATCACTTAAAGAAATTTGAAAAACCTAGTGAAAGTGAAGGATCCACAGGAAATGAGTGTTTAGGAAATGAATGTTCTCCAAGAGATATTTTGATAAACAGTAGACATACGATACAGAAATCCATTAGGAAAGAAGATCCATGTCCAGCCCCATCATCTAGTTCTAGAGATGAGTTACATGGAAAAATCAAGGAACAAATACATCCAGCAAAACGCTACAAAGTGAAGGGTGGCATAGACACCAAGAAAAATGGAGCCATTTCTGCCAACAAAGGAATAGCAAAGAGTAAGAATGAGGAATATTCTAGGATAATACCACAGAAAGGTGAGGTCTCCTGAGGTGGGTTCGAGTGATAAAATCTCCTCCCCTCTTGCTTTTTTAAATTAGGAAAACACCCAGATTTCTGAACTTTCCTATACATGTGTACCTATATAATTTAAGACTTTCTTGAATCCTCTTACTGGGAAACATTTTTAAAGTCAGTCAGCTTTTTTCTCACAGTCATTTCAAGAGCATTCATGTTATTTGCATACCGGTAAGTTCAGTATTGCCCCAGTACCTGTGTTACTGGCCAATTTTTCCATGACCCTAATTTCCTTAATAACCAGAAACTCCATATTTTTTTAAATAGTGTGCATAGTTAGAGTTCCTTTTGTGTGCCGTAGTTGAATTTTAAAATTTTGTGTCTTTGTAACAAACCCCTAAGTCCTTCATATAATATCGCTCTTGAAATCTATATCCCTAAGAATCTGTATCAAGTGTTTCATGTATAATTTTCCTGGAGAGCAATAGATTTTATTTTACTGACTAACATGCTTCAGAATGTGTCTATTCACTTAGCCATACATTAAGAATTTTATATGACTGTTCTGTGTTTATAGTGAGTTTACATGAGCAATCTATTAATTTATGAGTTCTCTATGTAAAATTAAGATTCCAACTATGCATTTATAGTTTCACCCACAATATCTGTGACAATTCTCACAATAAGCCAACAGCTATTTGTTTTGGTTACAGAATTGCTTCATAATGCTGATAATTAGTTCTGGTAATCCCTTAGTCGTTTCTATTTATCACTGATCTGATCACAAAGCCACAAGTACACTGGCTTTTGTTTATAAAATACACAGCTGGAATTTTTCTATAAATTTAGATTCTCATAAAATAGCGAAAATCTGGGCAGTAGAAATGAGGAAGACTTTTTCAGTTCGTCTGTACGACTTCATAAATCGTAGAGATCTGCTATTTATCAATTTTATGAGTGGTTTTTAAGTGACAGAAAAGAGGATAGATGAGATGAGCGAGTAAAAGAAGAATGCCAGTTCTTGGAGGTGTGTCCATTTTAGAGCCTGTTCTTCTAGGTTTGTTTTAAATGTCAGGTTCTGTAGGGTTTGCTAGTCTTGGTTGAGTTTTGGAAGCCTTAGTACTTGAAGTAGCAAAAATAAAGTTAAGTAGAATAGTTTACATATTGTTGATTTGGAAAATAACGGAATGGATGCTAGTAATAAATACTTCACAAGTAGCAGTACAGGGTTTTTTATTTTGTTTTGATTTGTTTTCATTAAGAAGCATGGTGGCCCCTCAAGAAACCAAACATCTCTCAAGTATTCTAGATTATAGTCAATACTAAATTTAAACTTATGTTCTCGATATCATTTTACAACTCATTCAACCCATAAATTATCCCTCCGTATAGTTGAACTGTATTACTGTTCCTAGAACCTGTGTTCTAGGTTCTGACATAAAGCTCGTAAGGTACGAAAAAGGAGGAAGAGTTTTCTTCTCCATTTCTGAATGCAGAGCTACTTCAGGAGAGGGATTCCGAGAGGTGAAGCGTCACTATGGAATTTCTAGTTCACCCTCCTCAGGGCGCTCCTGCTGCCTTAAGATCACCACCTTGGCATCCCACACAAAGCTAAAAGCTCTGACCTGTGAGACCAGACCTGCCGTCATCTCCTCACTGTTGAATAGAACTTTCTGCAATGATGAAAAAGTTCTACATATATGTATTGTTCTGTATAGTAACCACTAGCCACATGTAGCTATTGAGCACTTAAAACGTGGCTAGTAGCACTAGGGAAGTCGATTTTAAAGTTTATTCTTTTTAATTAGTTTAAATAGCTGCACGTGGCTAGTGACTACATATTGGGCAGTGCAGGATGTCACTGGTTATAGTTCTCCCCTTTCATGGCTTTATTTACTGAATTAAAAAGTGGAACTTAGACTAGTGAAATCTAAGTTCCCTTACTTCTAACTATAAACATCCAATTTCTGTCCCATATTGTAAAGTGACTTATTCTGTGTCTCCTCACCTGGATTTCAAACCTTGATTCCTTTAGGACAGATGATCTCAACTGAGTTTAAAAATATTTGGGCAGAGCTAACAAATTCTACCTGCTGTGGTTTCTTCATCCTTCCAGAGCTGTTTTTTAATTCTGAGAAAGTTTTATCTTGTTTTAAATGAACCTCAACCTGGTGCAGTTTCAAAATTTTTACCTTCTTTAAAATAAAAATGGAAATAACTAGTGCTTTTAAAAATAATATAAAATTTATTCCTCCTGAAAATTTTATTTGAAATTTAGGTGTATTTAAGTAAAACTTTCCTAATAATTCCACTTTCCACAGATAAGAAGTATTAGGTTTGGTGTATATCCTTCCACATATTTTTGTATGTGCATATAAATATATCTGAATATATGTGCATATATATATTTTTTAATAAGAATGTAAATTTTATAACCCTCTCTTTTATCTTAGCATGATGTGTTCTTTCCCTGTGAGTCCTTGTAAGTTCAGCTTTTCATTTTTAATGACTACATAAATATATCAAAATTTACTTAGTTAAAGCCCTTTGATGGGTGTTTAAGTTATATTTTATTTTTGTTTCCCTTTGCTTTTAAATACAATGTAATGAATGAATTGTCTCAAATATCTATTTTCACTCACCTGCTAATTATTTTCTTAGGCTGAATTCTTAGAACTGGAATGGGTAAATTTCTAGGTATGGATCAGAGACTGTGCAGATTTAAAAGTTTGATATATATTGTCAAATTTTTCTCTAGAAAAGCTGTGCCAATTATAATTCCATTAATATTACATTCCATTGATCTGCCCATTTCTCTTTTCTACTCCTAACACTAAGCCCTGTCAGTTTTGAAATGTTGGCCAAGATGATAACCAGAAGTGCATCTTGTAGCGTGAATTATTTGAATCAGGGCCGTATGTACTGGCAGTACTTAGAGCTCCTTGGTGTGCTGCTTGATCCTTTCAAAACATGTGTAAGCAGTGACCCTCTTATTTCCTTTATCTGTAACATGGTTGGAAAATCCCTGTGACTGACAATTTTCTGTAAGTAGAATATACAAATTGATCTTTTTCTATTAAAACATAAAAATCTTAAATGGAAAGAAAAACTCTCTAAAGGTGAAAATTGCAGATCGTGTGTGTGCATATATATATTTATACATATTTGTATATATACGGTTCTATTTTTGTGGGTGTGTGTGTGTGTAGAAAACTACAGCAAATTCATCATACTTTATTTCATTGAAATTTCGATTTGCTTTCCTTGTCATTCCAAATAGATCATTCCTACATGGACAAAGATGAACATGGTTCATCATCCGAAAGTGAAGGTGAAACACTGGGTAAATACCATGAGGCCTTATCCAGGACACACAATTCCAGGCTCCCGCTGGCAGATTCTCGACAAAAGAACTATACTTGGGAAACAAGACAAAAATATAGTCCGCTATCTGCAGAGTATGATGGATATAGTAGTGAAGCATCAATAGATGAAGGTAAGATAGATGAATTACTCAATGTTTTTAGACGGCACACTACAGTGTTAGATTATTTGTGCCCCAAATTCTAGCCATCTGTGGTTGCACAATAAACAAGAGATAGCACATGCGGTAGAGTCACGTTTCTGGGAATACCATTTATTCACATTCACCTCTTTGGGCTTAAGCCAGAAATCAAAACACCCCAAAAGCAAAACACCAAGTAACTTAAGTACAGTACTAATTCTAGCTCTTTTTCCACAATGAACATATGCCTACCAAGCATGAGATGGAGAATGTGAGTCTGCTGTTCTCTGTTGGAATCAATTCCAAAATACCTGCTATAGGAACTGATATAGTTGAAGTGTCTCACAGTGTTGAGTATGATTCCAGTGGATGAATGTGTGCTCCTCCACTCAATATGGCCCCAACCATGAGCCAAAGACTTCATGTGCCACACACAGAAGCAATGGGGATCTGTTCTGTGTGACAGGAAAAACTGTCTGAGATGGATTTATTGACAGCTGGTACTATTACGCTATGCTGTAAGGGTGATCTAAGGAATGCTCAAGGATTATTTTGTCTGTGATTGAGTTTTGCCTCGTGTATTGATATTGACTCTAAAACTCAAGCTCTGTAGAAGATGCAAGTCTGCTCTCACACATTTTTATATCTTTCTATAAGAGAAAAGAGGTTTGCCATTAATTAAAGCATATTTATTTCCGCACTGAAGTAATTCATCTGTTTGGTGCAATTGTATGACTACTACTAGCAATTATTATCTTTATACCCAGATATGAAAAAAAGAGAAATATATCTTAGCATTTTAATTCTGATAAACAAAAAGTCACCTTAATTTTATTTGCTGTGGTTTGTGCTGTATCACTTATCACTACTGATGACTTAAAGTCTTACCCCAGCACATGAAAGTTGTCAGAGAAGCTAACTCATCTTTTTTTGTATTTGGCTTAATATTTGTCTTAACTAATGATGGCTGTTCCTTCTTTTTATTTCTACTAATACACAGGTATAGTAAGAAATTAATCAAATACTGAGTGATTTTAGAAAGCTCATTATGAGGTATTAGGGAAGAAATAAAAAATGTTAGACACGGATTGTACCCTCAAAAATACCTTTCTAGTATTAGAGAGAATAAGACACGCTGTTACAAAGATACCTAACTAATGTAAAGCAGTAAAGCCAGTCTCCAACTGAAGTCTACCCCAGCACACAAAAAATAGGGCAGATAGAGAATGGATTTTGAAACCTAATCTTTATTCCCATTCTGGCTCTGTGACTTAAACTTATTAGCTATGAAACTTGGGCAGTATAGTTCATTGTTTTTAGGTTTGTTTCATTGTCCCTAAAATTTGGATAATACTTTCCTGACAGTGATGGTGAGAATCCTGAGCAGCCAGGAGCAAGTCCTGAGTTGGCAATCTGTGGCCCTAGACACTTCTCTTTCTGCACCTTCAGTTTAGGCTCTTTATTTTCCCCTACTTCCACCTTTTGCCTGTCACCCCTACACTTCTCTGCTGCCATGACTGCTTCTTCCCTGTAGTCCTGTTAGGTCACCCTGCCGAGCCTGGGGGGAAAGCAAAGAGAGGAGAAGCATCTCCTCAGGCCTCTTGGGTTCTTGCCCCACCTCTGAGTGGATGCAGGTGTCCTGGAAGCACCTTCTCATTTCCTTTTACTTGTATATTTAGGACCAATCTGCACCTTTCTACCATTTCTACCCGAAATAGCTTCATAAAACATCCAGGGTGGATTGGTTTTAGGCTTTCTGAAATTAGATTTATTTATTTCATAAGCATTTCTTGGAAGCTTTTCATGTGCCATGCTAGATACTGTGGACATAAAGATGTTTCCAAGAGCCTGCAGACTGGAGGGGGAAGACCACTGAGTGTATGCCTACTCGCATGTGGTGAGAGCTCTGTTAGTTTCATGAGCAAAGTACTGTGGGAGGTGGCTCAGACTTTGGGAGGTGGGGACTGGGGCATGTCTAATACAGTCTGCATAGAACAGGTGAACTGGACTTGAGTGAGAACTGTTTCAATTGCACGGAATAGTGATTACGTGAAAGCAGATGAGAGTGTGTTTCAGTATTTTTAACTTATCTGCGTTTGGAGAATGGAAGGTAATAGGATTGAACGCCATGCTCAGGAGTTTGGATATTATCTCATAGGTCATACCGAGTCCTGCAGGAGGTTTTTAAGCTGGACAAGGGGGCACTTTTAGATCAGTGTATTTAAGAGAGATTATTTAACTATTGGAACACAAGATGAATTAAATGTAGGTGCTCCTGGAGGCAGAAAGGACCAGGTAGATAAACAGTGATGAGATCCACTGGCAATGAATTTAGGGACAAAGAATTTTTAGGTTTAGGGATGGTCTCCATGTATCTTGGTGAATGACTAAATGTGTGCAGTGTGGGAGGAGTCAAGATTTTTAATTTGTTTAGGGACCATTAGAGATGTAAGCTTGTGGGAAGAGATAATTTAGCTTCAGTCATGCTGAATTTGAAGTATGTTGGGAATATCCAGGTGGAGAGGGATATCTTTGTTTTTAAATGCTGTCAACTGGGATTTAGGATGGGGAGATGACCAAATGATAATGTAAGATAATACTGGACTAGGAGAATAGTTTTTGTATCATAAATTATTGCTTATTGAGAGATCCAAGATCTCTATGAGCACCAAATAAATTCAGTGGAGTGGGGGAAAAACAGGAGAAATTGATTGGAGCAGGAGATTTCAGCGCTCGACCTTAGGGAAAAGCAACTTTAGGTGACTGTAAATGTTGAACGTACATATGGGCAAAAATGCAGAAGTACATATAAAATGCTACAAGATCTTAAGGAAAGGAATGAAATACCATCCATGGCTGTGAGAGAGATTCAGAGAAAATGGCATTTGGGTTCAGCTTTTAAGAGTAGGTAGTAAGAGGTAGTTTAGAAAGAGGGAACTTTGTAAACCCAAAAGTACATAGTGGTAAAATGGAGGGAATATTTGAAGAGAGTGAAATCTACTTGGTTCCAACACAGAGATCGGGAGAGGGAGAGAGATGCGAGTAGGAGACAAAAATGGAGAGATGGGGTCTAAAGCCTGGAGTGCCTCCTGGACTAAAATTTGGATTTGGTTTGTTAGGCAGTGAGAGCTGTGAAAGTTTTTCACCAAGGAAACATGATCAAGGATGTGCTTTATTATTCTGCAAGCTTTTAACTTAATAACAGGAAAACTCTAGGAAAGGACACTGATCAAGGAGGTCTTTGGAGTAATCTAGTGGGAAATGGTTAAAATCTGCATTACAGTAGTGGAAATAAAAATTTAGAAAGGTAGGAAGGACATCATGAGATAGAATTAACTGGATTTAGGACCTGAAAGTATTTGAAACATGAGAAAGAAGAAAGGACGGTTCAGAGATGACACTGGTTTCTAGCATGTATGGCTGGGAGGATGATGCCATTATTACCATAAACGAGAAATCCAGAGAAGGCTCTGTTTTTTGTCAGAAGTAAGAGGACGGGAGTAGGACATGAAAATGGTTTTACATGTACGATGGGAGAATGAGGGAGGATATTTAAGAAGTTAGAAATGGCCATGGAGCTTGAAATGATGCATGGGGTTGGGGAGAGAGGTTCTCAGACCATACATACTTGCAGAGTAGAAGCCTTGGGAGTGGATTAAATTGATGAGGGAGAATGTGTGGAGAGAAAAGATCAGAGAATCATTTCATTAACAGGAGAATGAAGGGTGTCACTTAAACAGAGAAGAGACAGTAAAAGCAATAAAGTGGAGAATTAGAAGAGGGTTGCATTTTCTCTTCCATGGAAGGATGTTTTGAATGCTCCAGAGAGATTGAGAGGGATGAGAATTCAGAGAAGCCCCTTTGTCCATTAAAAGTTGATCAGTAACTTTCAATGAACATTTAGTTGCGTAGAATAGTAAGTTAGATTGAATGTTGTTAAGTCGAGAATAAGTGGTAAGAAAGTATACATCTGCTGCCTTATACTACCTTACCACCTCCTCTCTCCTTATTGACTTTTGGAGTTGTAATTGCAAGGGCTTATAACCCAAGTGTTCCCCTTCTCCCTTCAACCTAACAAAAGAAACCCTTCTCTGGTAACTGTTCAGGAAGCAGGGGGATTTGGGTCTCCACCAGGTGGTTGTGCCTCTGCAGAGATGACTTGGCAGACACACTGCTCACTCCCTGGCTGGTCGGTCACCCAAGCAGACGCCTGAGCACAGTTCTCTTAGCAGGATTCGGTTCGTTTTCCTGAGATACAAGGAAAGGGATGAATAGAGTAACCTACTGTTAACCTACATATAACCTATGTGTCCCTTTACTGCTCTGACCCTTTATTCTGCTTATCATTCTGCAAGTTTTTAAAGATCAGACATGACTAATGTGGGCTGAGGTAACTAAAGGGAATTGCAAGGTAAATGGAAAAATACTTTTAAATGTACATTGTTTGCCTGGCATACTATGGCCTTATTAACGCTGGGAGGGACCATCAGTCCATGACTCAACACTGAATAATTCCAGTAGAGAAGCTCTGGAACAGCCAATATTGGAGACTGCCAGAGTAAGGAGGGCCTGGGAGGGCCTGGATGGGGATTGGGACACCAGTGCGGGAGAACTTTCTGACAGGTAGTAAGAATGACTATTTCTTGAGCTCCTACTGTGTGCCTGACTCTTAGTTTCTGTGTACATTATCACATTGTGGCAGGTAAGATTGTCCCCATTTTACAGAATTGAGAAGAGGTTTTAGATCAAATAAGTAATTTTTAACCTGAGGTCACACAGTAAGTTGAAAGACTGTGTCACGTCCACTGCAGAATGACTGGTGTTTCATCTTCTGTCAAGTCATCACTGTGCCTTTTATATCCTCCTAAGTCTGTTTCACACATGGTGGACCGCTTCAGTTGGGTCCTTCAGAACTGTTAGAAATGCAGGTATTTTAGAAAATGTGATGGCATATTTGTTACCATGTTTTCTCCTCTAGGTGGCCATATTAA